CTCCCTCCCTCCCCCCTCTCTTTTCCTCTCTCTCCCTCTCCCTCCCACCCCTCTCCTATCCACATCTTCCTTCCCATCCTCTTGTCTTCTACAGGCCTAGCTCACATTCTACTTTTTCCATTAAAATCCCAAGGACTCTTCTAGTGCCCAGAGAGCACTTGCCAGGAGTTTGCACCCACCTTGCACATAGAGCCTTTCAATATCCACTAAGTAACCAACTGTATCGAACCTTCACACTACAGTCTGAAGAGACTGGAAGTCCCAGCATTTATACACCGGGCCCTATTCATTATTGAATAATACTTCATTTAAGATAACTTTCCATTTTCTTATTTTATCAAAACTACATAAAATACAGCGTCTACAGCATCTACATAAGTTTGGTTTCCAAAGTAAGAGCCAATCTATCTCTGATAAAATGACGAGCTCATAACAGGATTTTTCTAGGGTTTTCAACTTCACCTATTGAAAATTACATCAACAATTATAGCCATCATTTAATCAATATCTGTGACCACACATGCTCCAATGCTCAATCATATATCCATCCCACAAATGTTGATCTTGATTTTTTTTCACAACTAAGGAAGTAACTGCTTGGAGTGCTTAGTCCTTGCCCCAGGGGCACAGAGAGGCAGGCTTCAAATTCAGATCTTGATAACTGTAAGATATCTACTGCCAGCCACCACGAGAGGAATACATTAAACACGGCGCTGCCTCTTAGCACTGGCTTCTAGATTGTGGTTTACGGTACGGCCACAGCACATTTTCCAAGACAATTTGAAAACTAAAACTTCAACAAGATATGCTGGCTCCAGATCACGGGAACCTGGGGGCAGCTTCAAAGCCAAAGCTCTGAGACAAATACCCTGATTTTGTATGTGAAACTATGAACTCTTCCAAGATAGAACATTCATTTCCCCTGGCGTGGCCTCTACCTTTGCCGCTGCCTCGGTTGCTAAGGAAAACTACAGACTTTACAATCAGCCACACTGCTGATTAACACCAGTGTGGGCTGGCCCATTCCTCATCAATACACACTTGTCATTGTTCCTATTCAAACTCCCCATAATAACCGCAGTCCCAGGTTATGATCCGGTCCTCACCCACTTCATTCCCTCGGAAAACAGGTGCCCTCTCACATGACCAAAAACGTGAAGATAAACTGTGGATTGTTCTTTATCTGCATATAAATAAGAAAATCTTCACCTGCACAAGATTCTATCACTTCTAAAATTAATTCATGAACAATATGTCTCCACACTATAGTCAGTATGTTCTAGTCACTGATTTCAGAAATGATCCTCACACAGGAAGTTCTGTCAATTATATACCACAGGATTTTAAAGGCCTGTCTTCATATGAGAAGGAAATTAACCTTTTCGAGAAAAGTGGAAACATTCTAGGCGAGTGTAACATGGATTTGTTTTTTTTTATTTTATTGGTTTTTTATTTTACTGGTTTGATTGGTTGGTTTTTGCTAGGTTTTTTTTGTTTTTGTTTTTGTTTTTGTTTTTGTTTTTTTGGTTTTTTTGGAGACAGGGTTTCTCTGTGTAGCCCTGGCTGTCCTGGAACTCACTCTGTAGACCAGGCTGGCCTCGAACTCAGAAATCCGCCTGCCTCTGCCTCCCAAGTGCTGGGATTAAAGGCGTGCGCCACCACTGCCCGGCTAGGTTTTTTTTTGTTTGTTTTTCATTTTTTTGTTTTTGCTAGTTGTTTTTTTTTTACTAGTTTTACCAAACCCTGTAAACAGAATACTTGTAATCTTAAATATAAAACAATTAAGGATTTTTAAGAATTAAACTCAAGACAGAGCCAATAGCCAGTTTTCTACCGTTAACACTTATTTTGCTGACTTGTGGCTTTTTACAGATTTCTGTGAACTTCATGCTGAAACTCAAAAGTACTAAATTATTTTCTGAATAGAATAGGCTGGTTTTTTTTTCCTCTAGTATTCTTTCCAAAACGATTTCATTTTGTCTTAGAGCAATAATGTCAACCAAACCCAGCAGTGGGGTATTATCTAGCCCTACAGCCTGTACTCACAGAGTCTGAAGTACAAGACAGAGATAAATTGTGTACATGTGTTTGTGAGCAGACAAAGCATGCTGCATGATTAATCGCCATACGCCTGGCTTATTGTTGTTGCTTGGGGATTTTTGAAGAGATGGTGCTCGGGATGAGAACCGGGGACTCCTGTGCTAAGAAGCACTGAACCTCTCAGCTACAACTGGAGCCCACTGTGTCTACTCTTTAAAAACCCGAGTTTGAAGTGGAAATGTTTACCTTGTGTATAAAAATGAAACACAAGCTGAAAAGTTATTTTTTTTGTGCCATTTAAGTTAAACTGAAGGACGGAAAACCTAAGGTCAAGCTGTGTGCTTCACATAATCCCAACATGATCCACAAACACAGCTCATAAGTGATCAATTAACTCATTTCTCTGAAGAGGCAGTAACGTCAGTCAGGTAAGATGACACACGGCCAGGCCTGGACTTACTCATCTTCACAAATGAGAATAGTATACCTATCATGTACAGCCTCTCAGGACGACCTACTGTGCTAACAGGTCTTTATCAATCCACAGTCATATGGAGCAAATCCACTTGAACAGAACTTCCTTTGAACTTCCCCCATATGACTGTGGCAAGGATGACTATGAAGAGAAGAGGGACAGCAGTAGTCACCCTTACCGGACATTCTCTGTCCTCTCCACACATCTCCTTAAATCCTAACAAGGTCACATGATACCGTCTTACAGCTATGAGCACAGGCTCAAATGAGGTACATACAAGAAGCTTTATAAGTACGTTATAAGGAAGACTACTTATAGGTATTTCATGAAGAAGCACATGAGGGCCCACCCCAAATCAAGCTGTTCTCCCATCCTATACTCATTATCGAAATAAAAAGGCAACTGCTGGAGGACTTTACAGCTGTTACATTGAAGTAACCAATTTCTTTTGAGGTTGACGGAACACAAAGCAAAACCGGGAAACAGCCCTTAGGAAAGTGGCAATAGGATCGGGTTTGCAACAACAGAAACAGGACACAGAAGTCAGCAGATGATTCAGCCAAGCACTAAGTTACAGGGTCAGTGGACAAAGAATTAGAACCATGGACCCTGCTCTGGTCCTTAGGATGCCACGTTAATCATTGCTAAGAGCCTGAATGCTACTCCACAGTTGCTAAGGGAGGAACCAGGTAACCTGTGAAAACAGTATGACATTTGTTCTAGACCCTTAAATAATCACACAACCCATTAGACAGAAGACGGCCAAATCAACTATCTACAAAGGAATGCAAAGCCTCAGAAAAATCTTAACTATCATCAGACCAGTATGTGTGAAACTAAGAAGAAGAAAGAAATACAGTAATGTTTCTCACTAAATAAAATCTGGCACATTAAAAAAAAAAAAGTCTCCGGCATACCTTCTAAGAGAGTGAGGAAGCGTGGGCGTGTGTGAAATCCCACGCCACACAGACAGAAGACCACATGTGCGTAGTGGGCTGAGGAGCAGCAACACAAGCAAAGGAAGTAAAAATATTGATGGTGATAAGGAACGCCTACTTGGTCTTCCTAAGCCTCGTAGTAGAGCTCTGAGCTGTCCAGATGAATGGCTCAAACCAGAGAAGGGGGAAGACAGAAACTGTTTCTCCACATCAGGAGAATGAAAACCACTAAAATTAACATGAGCATGGCTCTAACAGATCATTTTTCATAATCTATAGGTTGATAACTCCCTCAAGTATTTCCTAGTAAGAGAATTCTAGGAGTGTCAAGCTCCAGCATGTACCCACCAACCAACCCATGTTCATGTAAACAATGCTAATTAAACTCGGTGGGTAACACACACAAAAATTATGAAAGTAGGAGGGGGGGCTTATGTGAAGAAGGCTTTCAGGGGGAGAGAAAGAAGGGATGAGAGAGGGTAATGGGGGTGTGGAAATAACTCAGATTCATAAATGAAGAGTCAATGATTTTAAAGTACATACACACAAAGAAATCACAGGTGGCTTGTCTGTTTTGAGGCAGGGTCTCGTGTGTGCCCAACTTTCTATCTAGCCAAAGACTGTAGATTATTAAATTATTCCTATCCTATCCCCATTAGCTTCCAAATAAATGAGAGTCAGACTATGATTTATTTATTTAGATTTATCACAATTACTGGGCCAATTACCCCTAGTTTAACCCTCTAACACTAGACTGGCTACTTCCCTGATTGTACTACCCAAATACTTGCTGTCTGTGCTTCTCCTGGGCTATTCTGCTCTACCAGCCTGTCCTTGGGGTTCATTTCCCCCAGACATGCGCTCCTGGTCCATAATGGAGAACTTCTGTTCTCTCCATCTTCCTTCTTTTTCTCATGGTTCCCAACCTGTGACCCTCAGCCCACTAAATCAAACTCTGCCTCCTCTATTCCCCCACCCCCGAAAGTGGCTACAGCCATTTTATTTTAACCAATAGTTTTACATTGGAGAGCAAGGTTTACATAACATCACTTGGTGTGCATCAAGATCTGTTCATAGTAGAGGGTGGGCAACCAGATCTTAGGGGCCAGTATGCAATCTTCTGGCCTCACCTCCCCACTGTTCAACTAAGTAACAGGTATGGACCACCACACCTAGTTTATGCAGTGCTGGAAGGACTTGGTGCATGCTAAGGAAGCACCCCAACTGAGCTACATCTCCAGAAAATACAGCAAATATTCTGCAAGAAGACTCACCTCAGAGATGAAAATAATCTCCAATTCTTGTGCTGCCACTTCAACGCAGTCAGTGCTGTATCACATATAGGTGGCCTGAACATAAAAATACGACAATGGTAAAATACTCATTTTAAAAGAAAGTATCCATGCAAAAATTGTTTTGCATCCTATACATGCTTCATTGGTGCTTCTCTTTTTATCTAATAAGTTCAAACTAAAGGTCATGGTGAAGGGTAAAGCAAGAAGAGTGAGGTACCAGGCTAAGCTTATCACACAAGAATTCATTCTTGATGTAATCCTTACAGGATCTGAGAGGTTCTGCACAAGCTAACGTTTAAAGTGAGATTTGAACGCATGTCTAACACTAAATGCAACAGATATTTTATTTGGCATATTTTAATATTTCCTAGCATTCTACCAACTATAAGTGAAAGAGACCTTTTTACATATTTCCCATGTACAACTGCACAGGGGCATTCAACTCAAGGACTTTAAATAAACATAGCAACAAAGTTATTTAAATTATAGAGCATCATTTTTAGAATTTCATGTTATTAAAAATGTTGCTGTAACTTATGATATTATAAAAATATATTTTAAGAGACTGGGGAAATAGCTCTTTTGATAAAAATGCTTGCCATACAAGCATGAAGAATTGAGTTCAATTCCCAGCACCCATGTAAGAGCTGAGCACGTGCTAGTGTCCTCAGTAATGTGGAGGGAGAGAAGATTTGCCGAGACTTGCTAGCCAGTCAGTCTCCTAGACTCAGGGAGCTGCTGGTCCAGGATCTCTGTGTCAAAAAACAAGATAGAGTGTTCAAGGAAGACACATACTACACTACACTCACATGTATACCATACACACACATCCAAAGATATTTGCCATCTTCAAATTCTCACATTTCAAAACCATACTTTCATTTGTGTGACTAGATATCTAGAAAATCTACCTGTTTGTGAATCTAAAAATTATATTAATAGACAAAGTGAAAAATGAAACATTGCTATAGTTAGTGAAAATATTAGTGACTCAGGCCCAATACCTTGAATCAGCAATATGTTATAAACAATTTTAATATCGTAAGATTTTTCTCTCAGATATCACAGCTCAGTGAGAAATACTGTCAAAGACAGATTATAAATGTTCATTTTTCTTGGTAATATAACAAATATCAGCAAGAGTCTGCATAAGATTTGGCCTCTCAAAGACATTAACAGTTACTGATACTCAAGGTCTACACATTTCAATTCAAGGACTGCAAGACATTAACATTAAGTAGCGTAAGAAACAAGCCTCAGAGGCTCTCTCTGTGTGCGCTGTAAAGCAACTGACACTGAGCATGCGCTGTGAGGGCTCAGAGCTGAGCATGCGCTGTGTGGGCTCAGAGCTGAGCATGTGCTGTGTGGGTCTAGCGCAAGTGCTCACTGTGCTTGACTTCAACCAACCATGACAACAGCCCTGGGCAGGCGGCTCTTCAATTAGCCCAATGTGACGGAAGACAAAATTATGCACGCAGACATTAAGTCACTTGTCTAAAGGGTCAGTGGTCACTGTAGAACCGAGGCAGCAAAGTCTGTCTGCAAATGCATGGTTCCATGGTAGGTCCAGGGCAGACTAAGTAGGTGACAGTCACTGCATTTTCAGAAGCTGCATTCCTCAAAACACAACAAGTTGACTTCTGAGCTATTATTGACATGATTTCGTGTTCCCTCAAAGCCAGTCCTTTTCACAGTTTTATCATTTATCAATACACATGCATAGAGAAGTTCAGTCTATGACTCTGGAGTCTATGAGTGCTTCTCAACAACATTTCCCAAACAGCTCTTGCCACTAAAAACTCAGAAAGAAAGAATGAAGCATGTATCCAATTTTCCTTTTTGTAAGCTACACATTACTGAAATAACAAACAATACGAGTAAGGTCTCATATGAGAGTATTCCGGGTAAAAAGGAGAGTATTTAGGCAGAAGAGCAGAGAGCATCTGACAGAGAAAAACAACCTCATGAAATGTTTCTCACTGGGGAAGGAGGCATCTACTATACAGTACAATGCAAGAAATGGAGGGAAAGAAGCAATATGGAGAGGAAGGAAGGAAGGAAGGAAGGAAGGAAGGAAGGAAGGAAGGAAGGAAGGGAGAGAGGGAGAAAGAGAGAAAGAAAGAGAGAGAGAGAGGAAGGAAGGAAGGAAGGAAGGAAGGAAGGAAGGAAGGAAGAAAGGAAGAAAGGAAGAAAGGAAGAAAGGAAGAAATGAAAAAGAACCCAGATTTGGTTTCAATACTGGATCTTTCTACTACTTTCCCACACACTTACATAAGACAAAGGGACACACTGTGCTACTCAAGGGGAGACTGGGATCACTTACTGTTAAGAATCTCTACAGGTCAAACGAAGCTGCTGCAACGAGCAGAGTGTGAGCATAATGGAGGGGAAGGGAACACAGAGAGACATCAAAATCCATGTCAGTCAAAGAGCTTTATCAAGACTTTGACTAGAAGTCAATGCCAAAAAGGCCTCTGTAAGACTACTAACACGTTGGACACTACCTGAATATCTAGTAATATTGGGGCAATGACAATGAAATTATAGTCAAATCTTTTAGAAGCATTAATATATGGGGCATAAGAGGCACTGTATTTAATTTGATGTATTTAAGGATTGAAATTTGCTTGACTTTGTAAGGGAAGACATAAACAAGTTTATAGCTGAGCGTGGTGCGCATGGCTATAATTTCAGCACTTGCTGGGTGAGAGGTAAGATCAGGTCCAACCTGGGCTACATGGTGAGACCTTGACACAAACACAAACAAACAATGTCCTGAACCAGGACAGGAACAAAGCAAGATGGGCCAAGGATTAGCAACCACTGAAGCTATGATTACTCAACAAAAAAAAACAAGAAAATATTATGTCAAACCTGTTACCTCGTGTATTATAATAGAAATGTTAAAGAATACTAACTTAAAATGTAACCAACTGATCCCAGAAGGTAACATCCTCGTTTTCACAAAATAGCAACAGTAAGCAGTGCCTCAGAGAGAAGGCATTTCTCACAAGAGCTGGTTTGACAAGATACATTTCATTTGCTGCTAACTGCTAGTGTCTTTATTGGTAATAACAATACACCAAAATAGCAAATTCTCTGCAAAGTTATCATTGTTTAAAACTATCAGAAAATTGCCAGGCTCTAGGGGCTTGGTTCTGTTACTAGCTGGTTTTTGAAGGATCTGTTTATATTGTTTCTCGAGATGTATGCATGTATATCCATATGGGAGTATATGCACATGTGACTGCATGTACCCAAGGAGGTCAGAAGAGGGCGCTGGATCCCCTGAAGCTGGAGTCGCTGATGGCTGTGAGTCACACAGTTTGGGTGCTGGGTACTACAGTTGGATCTTCTGCAAATGCAGCAAGTGCTCCTGACCACCAAACCACCCCTGTCCCCCACTCTCCTGTGGGTGTCATTTGCTTCCAAAGTTTTTATTCACCTTTTATTGGCATGGGATACATTACTGAAGGACACAGGATGAACTAATTGGTAAACGATGGCTTACATTCTTCCAGACTGCATGATGGATTTGTCAGTGAAATTATTACAAAGTCTCAGGTGACATGGTGGAACTGGGCATAAATTGGTGAAAAGAACAAAAAGTTTGAAGTTCACTTTTGGTTTTATTACTTCTGAGCTTTTTATCATCTCAAACAAGTTCTAGATCCTTCACTTGCAAGTGAGGACAAAAACCTTTCTCCCGTCCAGCATGGCAAGGTAGCATCCAATTTGGTAAGTCAGCATTCAGGGACGAGCACTAGGATTCTCGCCATCTGGTGTGGGGTCGTGCTTAAGTAAGGGCTCATTATATGTATGAAACGTCTCACAAATTTTAATATTTTATATAAACTACATTATTCTGAGTGCCTAGTGTTAAATATTTAATAGCAAATTTTCTAATTGTCAGCACCTAGTTATTTTTCTGATATTTAACATTATTTTTATGCTAGCTAACTATAGGCTCGATTCTAAAATGTCAAGAACAACACCGTGGTTGTAAATGAACATCAAGAAACACACTTGAAGTCCTTTTTCATACTGCAGTTTTGAGTAGACTTTTAAGTAACCAACAAGATTTTTGCCTGTAATTTTTACTGATTTAAATTGTAGTCTATGCATAAATGTCACTAGAAAAATTTAAAGACAGACTTCTGTGATGGCTGATTTAGCTGTCATGTTCACACAACTGGGAGGAGGGAACTTCACCTGAGGAACTGTCTCCATGAGATCAGAATGTACAGGTGTCTTTGGGGCATTTCCTGTATTGCTAATTGTGGGTGGGCCCAGCCCACTCTGGTGGCCCTGAGCTGTATACAAAAGTTATCTGAGCAGAAAGAAAGGGGTAAAGGAGGGGAGAACAGGGTAGAGGAAGAGAGAAGATAGGAGAGAGAACTGGCCACCAAGCAGATTTCCTAAACAGTTCCTGCCTCTGCTCCTGCTTGTGCTCCTAATCTGCCTTCCTTCAATGACAGACTATAACTGGACATCTAAGCCAACTAAAACCTTTCCTCCCCAGGTTGTTTTTGGTCAGTGTCTTACATCACAGCTACAAAAAAGCAAGCTAGGATGGTTTCTTCCTCCAGATACCCAAACCTTCAATGTCAGAGTACCTAAGGCACCTAGATGAAAACATATCCAAATAATTCTTTATATTTAGTGATCAGCCGCCTAGTGTTAGAAATTCTTCACCTTCAGAAATAAAATATCAGTCAAAACCAGCTTTCTTTGAGCCCACGTGACGTGACTCCTAGGGGTATTTCTATCATGTGGTAGCAACATTTGTTTGCAGATCTGTCTCAGATGCATGTGCCAAAAGGAGAAAGCAAGACACAGACATGTTTTTCTTGGAATCCCTGAAAAATGCCTAGTAGCAGGAGGTGTTTAATAAATGCTTGGGGGATCCACCCATGAGTACACTCACCCCCAGGACTGGTGGGTTGAACCCGCTATGGGTTGGAGATGGTCTATGTCTCCCAAATGCTCACAGACAGAAGGTTTGGTGGTTCACCTTTAAGAGTTTAGTGGAAGTTAATTAGGTCATTGG